ACATACATACACACACACATATATATATATATATATATATATATGTATATATATACATATATATATATATTACAATCACATAACATGAAATAAGAGTTAAAAAATATAAAATACTGGAACGATTGTATACCCTCTTCATCTTTTCATTTTCTAATACGTCGAGAGCTTCGTCAGTCAAATCAGTCACTTCCGCTCTGCCAGTGGTGCAGTCGATGTCTCGTGGAAGTACTGGGGTGATAGAGATATAGTCCATGACTGCGTGCGGTATAAACTTGTAATAATATTATGCAATACACATGTACAGGTAATGAGAGACTATAAAAACGGATATCAGTGATACACGTTTGAGTCTAGTCTCTAGGTGGACCAAAATGCTTGTATATAAAGACGAGAACAGAGAAGATCTATTTACTTTCAAAAACAACCCATAGCCTTCTGAATGTATAGTTCAGAAGGCTAAATATGAACAACCTTCATTTTTATAGGGGTTGACTGTTGACATCAGGTATATTTTACTGTGAAAAACAGAATGTTTTTATTATTATTAAAAATAACTCTAAAAGTGCCAAACAAGTCTTCTGGGGAATTTGTTTTTAGAAATAATCCAAACACAAGACCCAGTCCTACAAGCCGGACCAAAAACCAAAAATGAGACCCCGGCCGAATAAATATATAAGGACTATGCGGATCAGTGTGAGACTTCACTTCTCAGCTACAACCCCAGAGAAGCCCCAGAAAGAAGAAACACCCCATCCCACCCCCTGAGGAACCAAGTATAAACCCTTATCTGTTTTGTTTTAAAAAAACACCTGAACGATTGCTGTTTAGAAAAAAAAGGGTTTAGCGGGAAACGAACCACAGGGCACAGCCTCACAGAGTCACAGGCCCACTGGCGTCACAGCCCACAGTCTAAAAATATACTCTACATATTTCTGAGTTACAGTATTTACACTACATAAATACATTCAGACTACAGTACGTATAACTATAATCCATATACAGAAAAGACACGGGAATAAGAGTCACAGTGGCATAGGAGACTTTAAAGTCCTCGGCTGAGCCTGGGAAAGCTTTGTTCCCGCCAAAAAGTATTACCCAATAAAAAATAGCAAATTCAATATACAGGGTTTCAAAATAGGGATTAGCTAAAAATAGATGTATCCAGAAATTCCAAAACTCGTTCGGAATTTGAAATTCATTTGAAAATCGTTCAGATTGGCGTATGTGATTGGTCGGATTTGAACCGAGTGGTGGTGGTAATTTACTGGTAAATGGTAGTCTCTACTAGAGTCTGATCTTAGTGATCTCCGAATCTGGCGACTAATGAATTAATCGCATGAGGAGTGTGCGCGCATCTCGCTAAATGCTATAGTCATGTTTTTTTCACGTGAAAGGCTGAAAGCTTGTCAAGAGGTGAGATGGAAAGCGTATTCGGCTATCGGTGTCGTTTGATTGTTTAAGGATAGATCATTGGTGAATACTGGACACTGTACATTAGCATACACTCATACAGCTACCACCTTCACGAAAGCAGAAATCAAAGCGAATTGCATAAATATACAATTGAAGTATTTAGTATATATACTTGAAGAAGTGCACCTTTAAAACTATTTTATACAGTTTACAAGAAATCAATATTATAAACATAACGCAATCATGTACGTTCATCTAACCCAGGGCAACGAGGTTTACGACTCCACCACCAAGGCAGTCATTTCACTATACGAAGGCAAAACCACCCGCGATGACTTCGAGGCCGTGTTCCAAAACTTCTACCACGAGGATGCCAGCTTCAATGTACGTCTTGTAGTCTGTTATTACTTGTCTTGCAGTATGCTATTACTTTACTTTCGATCGGTGGGTGCACTTGCAACACAGCACGACGTTTGTGATTTGTAGCTTTGTGATCGTATTTTGTTGATTCATATGAATCTTATTGACTATATCAGTTCTCTTAGTGAACGTACATTGTATGGGTACTTGCCCTAGCTGCATTCGCGTGCATTTGGTTTCTATTCAACCCTATTCCTCTGAGTCATTTTGTCTAATTCTGCATGTGTGGTGTCAGAGTTTTCTCCATATCTAGTTATTTCATGATAGTGATTTCGTACTCCCGTGCGATATTTGATTGCTCGCGAGTCAGCTCGTTTTTGTTTGTTAGATCGTTGTGGTCCTAAAGTACAGGCATACACACTGGATCACAGTACCAACAAATGATTTAGATAACACCAGATGTGCTCGAAGAGCTCTGTATTATTATTGCAACTATCTGTGGGGTGCAGGGTCAGAGTTCAAGGTCAAAGCTTCTGTTGCTAGCAGTGTTCTTAAATGTGCCGGTCAATCGAATTATTTCAACACACTATCGTACATACGCACTTCACTCATATTCCACTTCATAAAATTTGTCGGCCAGTATGTCAATATATCTATCAATACAGTATAATATATACTCCCCTCGTACACGCTTCATAGACCTTATAGGTCAGCATGTCAACATGTTTATCAATACAATATTGGTACACTCTCCTCACATATGACTTCTTTCTCTGGCCCTATCTAAAACAGGACCCCATCGTATCTGTCAAAGGTGTAGCCAATGTTCGCACTCAGTTCTACTCTCTGCGACAGTTGTTCACCAGTCACGAGATTACCAGCAAGCCAGTGGTGACTGCAGGGGCTATGGACAAGAACACTCTCAGTATCGAAAGTATGTGAAGTATCTACGTTTACGTACAACTATTATTGAAAGTATGTGAAGTATTTACGTACAACTATTCGGAGCCGTAAACAAAGATTTGACCTTATATTCGAGTGATTTCGTATCCAGCCTTGTGCAGGCAGCTGCCACCGATTCCCACCGCGTATACGCTTTCTTTTTGTGTGGCACTTCAAACGTATAAACAGTCTCTCTTTGCTAATTTATTCGAGAGTGTTGGACCCTCACTAACGTTACACTTTGCCGTCCTTCTCCACTACAGTGACTGCCCAGTTCACTGTCCTTGGTCTGCTACCCATTCGCCTGAAGCAGATTACACGTATCAACCTTTGCCCCAACACCGCCCGCATTATTGCACACCGAGACATGTGGTGTCTACCCGACAGTCTACTCGAGGTATGCTGCAAAACCCGTCTGTTGATTCAGTATATATATATATATATATCTTATTCTGTTACACAACTTGTCGGATTGTTATTCTACATCGGCTTTGTACGTACTTTCGAGTCCCCGCCTATCTCTTTATCTTGTCCAATTCCTGATTGTACTTTCAACCTCAGTACCCCATCATAGGCACAGCGTACCAGTTGGCAAAGTTGGGCTTCGGCGCATACACAACCGCATTGTGCAGGTTAATCCAACCCACCATGCCTGCCAGAAAGAAGCTGGAATGAGTACCACCGATATAAATATATATATATGTATATATCTAAAACTTAGTAACAAACTGAATTAAAAGTGTGCAGCCAATTGAACACAACCTTTTGAAATGGCATTTGGTCTACGATATACCATCATACACTGTCACACACTAATTGGTAGTTACAATTGGCGTGTGCTGTATAGAACAGCGCGTACGTCAGGAATATCAGTCGAAGATTTATATCGCCAGCAGCACGACGAAGGGACGCGACGATCAATACTACAAGACACAGGCTTCTATCGTAGATGTAAGCTGTTCATGTCACGTTGATTTCAGCTTTCGTGTCACGTAGATTTAAACTTTCATGTCACGTAGATTAAGCTGTTCATGTCACGTAGATTTAAGCTGGTCATGCCACATGCATTATATGCTTTCGTGACAAACGTTACATACAATCCCCCCATCGTTAACAGCGGCATGGTGGCCTGTCCATTTCTTTGTTGTCTGTGTGTGCACTGTCATAAGGTGATGTCATGCTGTGTGATGCAAGTGTAGGGCTATTACCAATTGCAATAGATGCAGCGTATAGGGTATATAGTGCCGTTCACATCATAGTTCTGGTTCGACTTCTCACTGCTCACTCTAGTTTTGTGCTGTGTCTCTATTCGGCGTCTTGTGCTAGATCTGAGATGAACAGACACAGATCAGAGTTAGTCATCACTTATGCGTTATCACTACAGGTGTCTTGAATTTTATGTAGCAGTGTAGGGTATATCCTGGTATGTGCGTCCAACACTTGTACACACTACACACACATCTACAACCATGTATATATAAGCGTGTAGTACACGTTAACGTCCACTTATGGTGCCCGCGTACTAGGCCCATAGACGTTTGTAAGGCCAGCCATGAACCATATGCGACCCAGAGCTCAGTGGTGAACACACGGTCAAGCGCTTCGAACCGTTCATGTTTATTCTTGTTGAGATGGATATCTCTTTCACAAGCCGTGAATGCCCCGGCAATCATGTCTACGCGGGTTGTCGGCGTTTTAAACGTATTGCGTTGTGTAAAAAATGATATATTGTTGACAGATTACCATTCGTGCACATTCCTACCAATGCGACGAGCAGTCGATTGACGTTTGTTTAAAGTGCGCCGCAGTGTGTGGTGTTGCGGACTCTTGTCGATGTACCTGGGCAAGCCTTCTAGTATGGACAATAAACCATGGTTGTTGAAGTAAGGCTAGGCCTTTCAGTATGAACAATAAACCATAGTTGTTGTATTAGGACAAGCCTTTTAGTATGGACAATAATAAACCATGGTTGTTTTACAAGGACCAGCCTTTTAGCATGGACAATAAACCATGGTGTTGTATTAGGACAAGCCTTTTAGTATGAACAATAAACCATGGTTGTTGTAATAAGGCTAGTCCTATAAACCATGGTTGTTGTATTGAGCTAGTCCTATAAACCATGGTTCTTGCATTAAGGCTAGTCCTATAAACCATGGTTGCTGTATTGAGGCTAGTCCTAGGAGCGAAGTGGGACCCTTCACTAATTCCCAAAAGCTACAGCCGCTTACCGAAAGGGGTAGTTGGTAGTACTTTGTACGATTAAGCCCCGATACGTATGCGCAGCCCATATGCTAGTAGGTCGATTTATGACGCAGATGGTGTATTTAGTCCACCATACATTAGCAACATGTGTTGTTCGCAGGGCCAGTATATGGTTCGTAAAGTTAGTATATGGTTCGTAGGGTTAGTATATAGTTTGTACTACGGAGATCGACTGCATCACGCAATGTAGTCTGCTAGCCTCTCAGAGGCTTTTTCCTCCTTGACCTACACAGCTGGACGGTAATAAGTGCAGCTTGATAATTATATATATA